GTTTGACTCACTTGAAATTTGTTGTTGAAACTGACAAAATTTGTACTATTACAACTATATATAGTTGTAACAGCACAAATTTTGAGGTCACAGATTGAGGTCAGCTATAAATTCCCAACCTTATTTTCTCATTTCTGATGACAGTAAATATATACAGGCCTTGCGATAAAGCGTCGGGTGATGTGAATTTTATGTCGTCCAAGAGCGATTTTGCGTGTAGCTAGGGCTATTTGCGTCGAGCAAAAAAAATTTTGTTTGAGTATATTTAAAGATATTTTTGAGCGGAATTTTAAAGAAGTAAATTTCGATTATTTTAACATTTAATAAAGTATTTTAAAAACCGCACGCAGTTGATATAAAAGTTTGAAATACAAAAAAATTAAATATGCTCATTATTTACAAGTAGAAAAAATTCAGACTAAAAAAAAAGTTTAAATCTTTTTAAGCTAACATTTTAATAAAATTATTCAGCAATAGCAAAGTTGTCGATAAAATTGAACAAAAATACTTTCTTTTAGATTTTTAACTTAAATAATTATTTTACGGGGGTTTGTTAGGTTTTAAAATTATTCCATAGATTTAAAAATATTGATTAACTGTTAGACCATTTAAAGTTTTTAAGAGTAATTTCGAGTAAACCTTTTAAAAATTGGTAAGCACAAATAAAAAAAAATAAAGGATTAATATTAAAACATAGCGCATTTTGTTTAATGCCTTAACTAGGCTTTTAAATTAAAACAATGAACAAAACGTGCTAATCACGCGTTTTGTTCAATGTTTTCCCCCTACAAAGATTTTAACTGGTTTTGTGACGCGATCGCGACCTCAAGGATTCTAATTGATTCAATAAAAAAGTAAAGCTATTAAAATTTTTGTAAAAAGTAACTCGAAAAAAATTACTAAAATAATAGCAATCGCTTTAGTGTTAAAAGTTACTAAAACTCAACGAAACGCGCTCAAGAACAGCTGCTGAAAAATAGAACGTCAATAATTTTTCGAATAATTTTCAATAATAATTTTTAAGAAAATTTTTTTCGCTGAAATATGTCTTTTATACCTATATATAATTGATTTGTCATGTTCTATTTAACATTATTCATGGAGTTTATTGAAAAGTGGCTGCATACTAAAAACCTAGCTTTTAGATGTTATTTAAAATCATGAAATTCTGTACTTTTGACAATTTATTTAAAGATTGCTTTTAAAATGCTTTATGCTTATGCTTATGCTTTATGCTTTTAAAATGCTTTTTTTAAAATGCTTTACTTTAATAAAAAAAAGTTTGCAAAATTTGTCAGAACAAGAATTTTTTTTATCAAATGCATTTATTCTATAATCATTTTTTGAACTTTTTAATTTTTATAAACAACAGAAACCTGTACTTTTTATTTTACTATTAAAATTTTTCTATTGAATTGTTTTGTTATTTAACATTAGGTCGGGTGAATAAAAATAAGCAATTGCTTTTACTCAGTAATTGGTCAGCTTTACGTGAATAAAAATATTAGGAGTTTTGCTTAAATTTTTATTCACATAAAGTTAAGCAATTTACTTAGTAACTGTTTGGCATTACGTAAATAAAAACTTAGAGAAAATTCCTTTAGCTTTTATTCACGTAAAGCTGACCAATTACTGAGTAAAAGCAATTGCTCATTTTTATTCACTCGGCCTATTTATTTTCCTGCTTAAATTTTTCGCTATGTAAAGTGTTTAAAAAAGTAATCATAGAAAAATTATGAAAAAATATATTCTAAAATTACAAATTTATATAAATGTAATTACTTAAAATATTCTTTGATAATTGAAATAAAATAGGTTCATTGTAAACGATCATTAAAATTAATTTGTTACTTTATTTAAGTAATAAGTAAACTTAATTTATGTATAAATTATTAAGTTTACTTATTACTTAAATAAAGTAAAAAATTTTATGTATAAATTATTAAGTTTACTTATCCGGAACAAAAAAGTTTGTAATGTATGTTTTGATGTATATATATATACACACAACATAACTATCTACAATAGTAAAACATTGAATGTAAAATTTAGTTTCAAATGAATAAAAAATAGTTTTGCAATTTTAGTTAAAGTTTTTTTTTTAATCAACTGCTAATTTATTATATAAAATATAGGCTTTATCTATCATAGATTATAATAGATTATTGTGAAAGAAAGAAAAACAAAAACCTTTTTGTTATCTCATAAAAAAGAGAAGTGCTTTTGTTAAATTTTTTTCAAAAAATTTTTTTTTTGTTTCTTATTGATTTAATATCATGTAAAGTTCTTTTGACTTGTGAGCACTTTTGACATTTATGAGCATTATTTATTGGGTTGTAACATAAGTTCATAGAGTTTTGCGTTAGAGTTATTTTACAATGATTTGTATTGTTTTTGAGCAAAATGTATACATTCATTCAAAAGAGCTCTTTCTCGTCTACAAAACGATTTTATTTGTTTTTTTGGATAATTTAATTGTTCGTCTTTTTTCTGGCTCAGAAATGGAACACCCAGGAGGAAAAAATCAGCATTTTCGACATCTGCTTTTCTTTGCTTTTTATCAAGGTTAAAAAGCAGCCGAAGCCGCTTGGGACATATGCATTGTGTACGGGGAAGGTGTCTTTAGCGTGTCTACTGCACAAAAATGGTTTGTAAAGTTTAAAAATGGGGACTTTGACCTTGAAGACACGCCTCGAAGCAGACGACTTGCAGAATTTGACGAAGCGCATCTAAAGGCATTATTGAAGGAAGATGGTTGCCAAACAACTAGTGAATTGGCTGATAAAATGATCAGTGCAATGACAACCTCTTGCCACCTTTAATTAATTGGTTTTACGCAAAAACTTGGAGCATGGGTACCTCACGAGCTCAACGAAGTAAACAAAGAAAAACGCCTTTAAATTGCTGCTCAACATTTCGCCCACCACCAAGCAACACCTGAATAAAAACAACGCTTTTTGTATCGAATCATCACAGAGATGAGAAATAGTGTCTGTACATCAATGTGAAGTAAAGGGAGTGGATGGCCCCAGGAGAGACGCTGAACCCAAGAGTCAAGCAAGATCTTCTCCAAAAAAAAAGGCCATGATCTGCATTTGGCGGGACTGGGAAGGCATGGTGCACTGGGAAATGCTCAAACGAAACGCCACTGTCAACAAGGAGGTCTACATTGCCCAGCTGAACCGTGTAAATGAGGCTATTTGGCTGAAAAAACCCGATAGACAAGGTCAATTTATCTTGCTCCACGACAATGGCAGGCCCCATATTGCCCAAGTTGTCAAAACAGCACTCCAAGGTTTTATAAATTGCTTATATTCCTTATTAAAAATGCAACATTAGATACGTATAAGTTAAAATAAATAACATAAATAACATTAGATACATACAAGTTCAAATAAATACGTATAAGTTAAGTATACGTTTTATGTATAAGTTACATATTACGTATAAGTTACATATACATATACATAAGATATGTATAAGTTAAAAGAAATAACAATAAATAACATTAGAATACGTATAAGTTAAAATAAATAAATTAGTATATAATAAAACAATATAAATTAAATAAATAAAAACAAACAAAAGATTGTTATTTTTAATACAGTATTAAGAAATAAATTATAAAGAAATATAATCCTTTTAAAGGGACTCCCAAGTCCCAAGACATGTTGTGTTCATATTAAAGAGAATGTTAAAAAAATTTTTTTTTGATTAAAACTAATTTATAAATGTATACCAAGAAAAACAAATCTTGTTGTTTTAGTCGAAGCTCGTCTTCTCCGTTTTCTCTGGTATTTGGAGTATGTAAAATAAATACGATTTTCCAGGCGCATTATACAGACTTGATAATTTATTCAAGCGCGTTTAATTCATAGGAGTTTTAGTGTATGACGTCATTGGAAACATTCTAGAAATTCTTTAAAAATTTTACTATTAAATTTTACTAAAATAGCTAACTATAGTTACTTATTTTATTTTTTAAAATTTTCACATTAAAAAATATTTTTTTTATAATCCAATAAATAACACGCTGTGTCTCATCGGTTACCCCCCAAACGGGGGAGGGGGGCAATAACTTTAGGTGTTCTTTTTTTAAAATTTAAGATTAGTTTTAAGAATAATTTTACCAAAATTTTTTTTTTTTTCATAATAATAAATTATATACTTTAAAATAAGTTAATAATGTTTTTATTATAAAAGATTAATTAATCTTTTATAATAAAAACAGTCTTGAGGCAGCGCTTTTATAAACATTAGGGTTGCTAAACGTTTGGTCTTTACAGATAAGAATACAAACCTGTAAAAATATTTTTTTTACTGTGTTTTCCTTCGTAAAAGTGGAAATTCTGGCTATTCTACATATAATGTATAGTGTTTTTATCAACAGCTGTTAATTAAAAAGTTGTTTTAGCAATTTGATAAGTATCAAGAGGATTGTCGAAATCATCAAAAATGTTTTGTTGATAATTAAATACTATTTAGAATTTTTTTTTTTACTTTTTACATTTGTAATTTAAATGAAAAAAACTATTATTATTATTTATAAACTAGTATTATTATTATTTATATTATTAATATTACTAAGATTACAACAAAATAAAAATTCATTTATCAAGCATAAAAGGATTGCATGCAAGACAAAGTTACTAAGTATTATTTTTTTAGAAGAGAGAGATTCTACTTCATGAGTCATTTTCTCTTTAAGAGTTTATTATTAAAGTTTGTCATAGCACAAATGGAGTTCTTTGTAATTAATACACAATTTAAATTGCTTTAAATAATATTCTGCAGGATTATGTTTTACCCTAAAGTTTTTACTCCTAAAAAGTATCTATCAAATAATAATAATAATAATAATAATAATAATAATAATAATAATAATAATAATAATAATAATAATAATAATAATAATAATAATAATAATAATAATAATAATAATAATAATAGTAATATTAATAATAATAACAATAATTTGAAATAAACAATTAAATAATTACTTGCAAACTCGTCTAATTTTATTATTAAATCCTTTCTCTCCATGTTCCTTAAAGCAGTTTTTAATTTATCAAGTGATGGAGCCGCATTCATTTGAATCCATTTAGTTAACATTTCATATGCTTTTACACAAGTTTTAACATTATCTTGATCAATCATGTCTAAATAGTTATCTTTAATATTTAACTTTCGCCCAAGAGTTTTCCAATCCACTCCAACACTATTGCTAAATTTTAACTTAAACTCTTGGCTATGAAGAATAGTTTCGTCATTCTTTAGAAATATATTATTGTGAGCCATTAATTCTAAAAATAATGTATACACAAATAAAATATATTAAATAAATATTATATGAATTATATAAATTATATAAATACATATATGTAGTTATGTAACGATTTGCTACCCTATTTTTGTTTCAATAATTTGAAAAACATCAGAAAAAAAATTAAAAAAAGCAAAGAATAATGAATGCCAAACCCACAGTGATAAACAAGGTAGTTATTGTGTACTCGATGTAGTGGCACTTGAAATAAAATATTACATTCGCCTAATATCACATTCCCCATCGATGAAACGAAAACGAGATTGCGCTTTCGAGTCATTGCACTTAGAAGTGTATCAAGTACTTCAATTATAAACAATATAATAAAAACGCAACGAGATTCATAAAAACGTTTTTCTACTAACATACTATAAATAAAGTTAGCATAAAATGGTAATATATTTTAAATTTTATAATATTTTCATATTTACAAAATTTTGATCGTAATGTATTGCGTGAAAATAGTAAAAAAAAGATTACACATGATGGATATAATACTTTAGGTAATAAAAATAACAATCGTTTGCAATATTTTAGAAGCCTGCATAGGGGGATTTGATATTTTAAGTAAGAATTTCAGTTTCTTTTTGTGACATTTACAGAAATAACAAGTGGTGAATGTTATATTCTAGATATCAAATACTATTCGTTTGAAATACTTTATAAATTACTTAGGGAAACGTAATATTTCAGAAGTAGACACAGGGGGGATGTGATATTTTAAGTAAGAATATCAGTTTCTTTTTGTGACATATATAGTGAATAAACCGACGGGATGTGATATTCTAAATACCAAATAGTAGTCGTTTGAAATATTGTATGAATTACTTAAGGGATGTAATATTTTAAAGGTAAACATTGAGGGGAAGTGATATTTTAAGTAAGAATTTAAGTTTCTTTTTGTGGTACATACATAATTTACAAGTGATGAATCTGTTATCTTAAACACTAAATACTAACCGTTTGAAATATTGTATGAATTAATTAGGGGGATGTAATATTTTAGTAGTATACATAGAGGGGGATGTGATATATTAAGTAAGAACTTCAGTTTCTTTTGTGGCATATATAGTGAATAAACCGAGGTGATGTGATATTCTAGATACCAAAAACTAGTCGTTTGAAATATTGTATGAATTACTTAGGGGGATGTAATATTTTAAAGGTAAACACAGAGGGGATGTGATTTTTTAAGTAAGAAATTAAGTTTCTTTTTGTGACATATATAGTGAATAAACCGAGGTGATGTGATATTCTAGATACCAAAAACTAGTCGTTTGAAATATTGTATGAATTACTTAGGGGGATGTAATATTTTAAAGGTAAACACAGAGGGGATGTGATTTTTTAAGTAAGAAATTAAGTTTCTTTTTGTGACATATATAGTGAATAAACCGATGTGATGTGATATTCTAGATACCAAAAACTAGTCGTTTGAAATATTGTATGAATTATTTAGGGGATTGTAATATTTTAAAGGTAAACACAGAGGGGATGTGATATTTTAAGTAAGAAATTAAGTTTCTTTTTGTGGTACATACAGAATTTACAAGTGATGAATCTGATATTTTAAACACTAAATACTAACCATTTAAAATATTGTATGAATTACTTAGGGGGATGTAATAATTTAGAAAGGCACATAGGGGGGATGTGATATTTTAAGAGTTTTAGTTTTTTTTCATGACATATACAGTGAATAAACCAAAGGGATGTTATATTCTAGATACCAAATACTAATCGTTTGAAGTATTGTAAGAATTACTTGCGGGGAGGGGGGGGGAGGATGTTATATTTTACAGGTAAACATTGAGGGGATGTGATATTTTAAGAAAGAATTTCAGTTTCTTTTTGTGACAAATGCAGAGACTACACAGGGGGGGATGTGATATTTTAAACACTAAATACTAATTGTTTGAAATATTGTAAAGAAAAACTTAGTTGATGTAATATTTTAAAGGTAAACATAGAGGGGAAGTGATATTTTAATTAAGAATTTAAGTTTCTTTTTGTGGTACATACAGAACTTACAAGTGATGAATATGATATTGTAGGTACCAAATACTAATCATTTTAAATATTTTGTAAATTACTTAGGGGGATTTAATATTTTTAAGGTAAACATAGAGGGTATGCGATGTTTTAAGTAAGAACTTCACTTTCTTTTTGAGATATACGCAGAGGCTCCACAGAGGAGATGTGATATTTTATATACTAAAAATGATTTGCTTGAAATATTGTAAAAAAATACTAAGAGGATGTAATATTTTAGATGTATACATAGGGGGGATGTGATATTTTAAGTAAGAATTTTAGTTTCTTTTTGCGGTACAAGCAAAATTTTTAAGTGATAGATGTGATATTCAATATATCAATTACTACTCATTTGAAAAATTTTATGAATTACTTAGGGGATGTAATATTTTAAAGATATACATAGGGGAGATGTAATTTTTTTAGTTGATTTTTTGCTTATTTTCGTGATATATATATATATATATATATATATATATATATATATATATATATATATATATATATATATATATATATATATAAAGAGCTTACACACGGGGGTAGTGTTACTCCAGAAAACAAATACAATTATTTTGCAACATGGTAGTAATTATGAAGGAGAATATTTTAGAAGCCTGCATAGGAAGATTTGATATTTTAATTTAGAATTTTAGCTGTTATTTGCAAAATGTGCAGAGTTATTTGCAAAATGTGCATACTCAAACAGTCTTTTTTCATTTTTTTAATTAGATTTAATTGAGTCAATTCATATGTAAGGCTTTCAACAAGTTAAAGTATTATAACAATACAAGAAGTCACTGAAACTAAGAAAAAAAAATTTCACCTACTTGTGTTTTTATCTCTAAGGGCATAATCATTTAAATTGGTTCAATTTATAAAAAAATTTTGAAGAAAAAGAAATTACTGCATTTTTTAAAGTTTCATTTTTTATTACATTTATATATAAATATGTTCATAACAAAATAAAGTTTCATTTCTAAAAGCAATGCATCTCATACGGTACCATCGATTTGGGATGCAAATATCTCATTTTATCTAAAAATAAATATTTAATGTACATTTTCTATTTGAATATTTAAAGTATTTTTTTTTTATTTGAAATTTTTATTAAAAAATAATTAAAATATGTTTCATTACCCATTTAACTTTTTTTTGATTTTTCTAGTTTTTGGACCAATTTCACTTCCACAAATGCGACACAAACTATTCTGCCAACTTTTTTGACCTATTGATTAAATTTTTTATCATTTTTTTTTTTTTGTCTTTTTTTTAGATATCATTTAACATTGAAGTAGTATAAACATTTTCAGTTCTCTAAAGAATCTCACAAACCTCCTTTATCTCTTTTTCTGTATGCATTAACTTCTTTAAGTGGAAAGACGCGCACCAATACTTCTCCATTTATATAATTTTCAGCAAACTATATAAATATATGCATATATATATATATATATATATATATATATATATATATATATATATATATATATATATATATATATATATATATATATATATATATATATATATATATATATATATAAATATAAATATATATATATATATATATATATATATATCCATTACAGTTAAGAGTCTTAAAGTTATCTTAAGGCAGAATACTCCACATGATATACCATCAGCTTGTATAGCATGTAGTAATATTAATATTTCAAATTTTTCTTAAACACCATATCTTTGTTGTAAGTAATAACTACTGTATAATAGTAAAAAAATTATAAAAGATGTAAATACCAATTTTGACATAGGAATATCTAATAATAATATCATACTTCCATTTTACTTCTTCTTTTTTGATGGAATTTATCTGTTTTCCCATAGGATCCATAGAGTGAATTGTTTTATTACTTGGTTTGATTATCTTAAACACAAGTGAGTTTCAAAATCAGGTTCAAGGTTAGGTTCCATGTAAAAAAATGGGGAACTTTTTATACTTAAAGAAATTTCAATCTTTTTCAAAAAACAATTATACTATTTTACATAGTGCAAGCGTCCAATGGAATTTCGCCACCATGCATTTTTATATATAAGTGTGTGTGTGTATAAAAATACTCTATAATTAAATTAATGAATCATTAGTTTTTTTAGATAAAAGTTTTTGAATACCTTATGCCGTCTTCGTATTAAATCAGTTTTAATTGGCAAATCATCCAGTGAGAGTAGCCCAGCTGGCGACAGTACTTCGATTCGATTCTTCAAAGCATTAATAAATGGAATGGCATTCATTATATAGTTTTATATTTAGAATTTTATTTAAATGAAGACAAATTAAAAAAAAAAAATGCAATATTGTTTTTTTATACAAAAATTTTATTATGAAGTACATTATTTAATCATACTTTTTCTTTACTGTTTACTAATATTTTAAGATAAATATAAACAACTTCGTCACTGAAACATTTGTTTAAAGTGTCTTGTAACAAATAATCTTATACCTTGCAGCCACTTAAATCTGGATATATACCCATAATGACTTTTACAGAGTTTTTAATATGGATACATTTTATTATTTTGTGACCTATTTAGGAAATACAATTTAAGCATAATTTCATCAAAATTTAAGCATGAGTCTTTCATCTAATAAAATAACGACTATTAAATTTATTGAAGATTACATGTTTTAAAACTCTACACCTATTTTTTCACCAGGTGGGATATTGTTTAAATTAATTATTTAAATAAGTTTACATAAAAATCTTTATTTCACTCATGCGCCACTGAAAATAAATACCTTCTGTATCATCAACTATGTAGCTTTTTCTTGTATTTACTATCTCTAGAACATTAAAATAAATAAAAACAAATTAAAATAAAACGCTAACAATTATAAATGATTAGATAAGTTTTTAATACATACCTTTACTGCCTTCAACTAAAAAGTTTTTTATTGTCTCAGCCTTCTCTAAAAAACAAGCAATACTTTCAAATAAAATAGTAACATTTATAAATGAAAAGTTACTTTTTAAATCATACTTTTACCATCTTTAACTACGAAACATTTTTTTTGTATCTGCCACTTCTAGAAAAAAACCATACATTACAATAAAAGACTAACACTAACAAAATATAAAGGTAATTTATTATTATATACCTTCACTGTTTTTAACTACCGAGCTTTCTATATGAATATCCGCTTCCTCTAGAAAATAAATTACAACTAAAATGAAACGCTAACAATTATATATGAATAGGTAAGTTTTTAACACATACCTTCACTATCTTCAACTACAATAGCTTTTATTGGCTTCTATGC